ACTCAACAATGTGGTTTCGATGTATTTTATTCTCGTAGCGCGTGATGAAGGCTCGCACAGAGCATTTATCCATAGTGTCTTCCTGTACTACCCCTCAGGCCCCTCTATTGGACAAGCACAGCCCATATGTTGGTACGTCGCCCATGCACCGGCAGTCTCCTCGACTTCTCTATGGGTGACCACTCACCTCGACCACGAAAGAGCTCTAGTACCACTCAATCGGTGCTGATTGTCATTGTCCGCTCATGGCAGGTATTGTTGCAATCAGGTCCTTTCCCCTCCACTGAGGTACCCTCCTGCAGTAGTCACCTGTTGTGAGCGATGGCACTGTGTCGTCATGTGACAATTGATTGCGCCCTTTGACTTCAACATACTATTCCCATACGCGATTTCGCATTAGTTAGTGTGTTGCGTCAATTTGGATAGTTGGAATAGCAACGACGGAACGATGATAGCGAAGAAGATAGTCGAAGTAGCTCAATGGCTGGAAGCTTTGCTGCTAAATTGTGATTGTATAAGTGTACAACTATCGAGTCTGAGAGCAATCTCAGCTGAAGCAAATGGAGGAATACTAGCTCGTTCGAGCTATAGCTCAGTGTATATGTCGAACTCGGTTGAATAATTGTGTGCCCTGGCACTGTCCTCTGAGAATCCAGTAACGAATACTGATCATTCGGCTGGGCAACAAGGCCTCTATTGGGTATGGAACGAAACTTGCTGAAATATCAGCCTTATGTTCATCCCTCCTGGTGATGTGATCAAAGATTGCTACAGAGGGGTTCCACAAGTTCGAGAGAGTAATCGACAACGATGATCAAAGCAATATGGCAAAGACTGGCAGTTCAGATATTGCTTGACCACCGGGACGGAAATTCGATCGACTTGGTATTGGCGATATAAATATCGATCCACTCTGATAGGAGAGAGGAAAACAGCAGGAAGTCTTTGTTAAGGGAGGGGGCAATACTGCCGGGAAAGAGATCAGTCTGGAACAACAACTCTGTATTATTCCTCATCATCAACTCACCTAACTGGGTCACCACCATCCAACCGGAGTGCTAGCTTTAAGGCCTCTTACGCCTGTGCTATAGTCTCGTAAAAACAATATAGTCTTGTTAAGTTAGATTTTTGAGTAGAATTACCCTAGGTTTCCGATCCGTGAGAGAAATCAGCCCACAACCCAGAGTTAGTGAGCGAGATGCATGATTGGAGAGTAGGGTCGTAAATTCTTCAGCAGGATTCTCGAGTATCATGCTACTGATCCAAGCCACTGCATCATCTGTTGATGCAGATGCAAAGCCTTAATTAGACTCATGAATCAGGCCGAATTCTCGTCAAGAATGCGCTAATTTTGTAATGGAGATACTCCGCACCGATCCCAAATATATTAGGAATTAGTGTGGAAATCTTGCAATGTCAATACAATACAGTACCCAATGATCATTACTATTGATAATCAACAAACATTCATACACGATGGCCCCCATCCTTCAAGTGTACCACTTCATATTACGGCAGTACTACAGTATTACTACTTCTACTACTCAACTTTTGGAACATCATGTCTCGAATATGTAATATTCCACAACTGTGCGCGAAATGATGTTAATGACGACCGAACCGCGATCTTGTACATCACTGCTCGTTCTCGTAGCGAAAGTGACTCGAGCTCTGCTTACGCATGCATCAGAATCAAGGGTTACATATCATATCCCCTGAGTTGAGATGTTTTCCACAATACCCCTTTTTTGATAGTTTAGCAGAGTAAGAGTTCTTTGATCTCACAAGTGCCTTTGGCCAGAGCACCCAAAGATACCGTATGTACGTCAGTTATTGTTAAGTAAGACTGTCAAGATAATTGGAGTACACAACCGCCAGCCGTTACGGCCTCCGATATAAACTATCTCTATGATGTGATTTCGGAGCACTGAGACACATGTCTGACTTGTACAACACAAGACTGAGAAATACCCAACAATGGTGAAATTCAGTATGAACGATTGTCATCTTATTTGATACTCTTCTTCTTTGCCAACAACGCCTTAGCGGCAGCCTTCTCAGCAGCCTTCTTCTCATTCTGAAAGGAACAATCAGTGAAGAGAAGTGACATCAGGTCACTCACCATCTGTTTCTTCATGGCAATAGTATCAGCATCATCCTGCTTCCCCGACTTGGGAGCCTTCAGAGGCTTAGCCTTTCCACCTTGGATATGGCGACTCATATCAGCAACTGGGAGAACCCAAACCTAACCTATTTTGAATCTTGACAAGTTGAACCTAAGATTCCCATCAACACAACACACTACATCGACTGTATATATACAGCGGAAAGATATGCCCTACCCAAAACAAGGAGACCCTAGATTGGAGAAGAGAGAATCTTTCGACTGCGTGCGCTGAGGAAGTTCAGCGATAATGGGAATAATTTCTGACGTAGTAATGAGAATCGATACAATTCTGTCCAATGCCTAAGTTGACCCAAGATACGCCTTAGCCAACTCCAAAAGAGACATGAACGTCATCGTCATCGTCATCCTCGGTCCAGTGGTTGTTTATTGACGTGGAAAATAAATTACAGTGGATAGAACAAACAGCAGTGTTGTTGTCAGGCACCGAACCAGGCAGCATAAGGCATATAGAGGAATCTTAGATTGAAGGTGATGAACAGGCAACAATCACAGATAAACCTAGTAGCGACGGTAACCTAATAAAGAGTATCATCATGTGAGATGAGGTATGAAGAGCCTTCCCTATATGCCCACCTCCGTTGCCACCACGATATCCTCCGCCACCTCGAGAGCCTCCCCATCTGCCATTACTTGATCCGCCATACCCACCACTACTTTGGGAAGCGATCTTCTCCAACTCAGGAGGTACCTAATAACAATCGTAAGGTCTCCGGATCAAATCTCAGAGAGGTACACTCTACTAGCTGCTAAGCTTAAAATTAGGGACACCGACACAATGAGACCAGGCAGGTTCTATCCCGGCATCTGGTATTATTACCGCTTGCTCAGCCTCTCTAAGGACACCGATAAGATCTTTCGCTAACTTATACTTATCGGGAGTAAAGAAGGAATAGGCGCTTCCCTTCGCTCCGGCACGACCGGTTCGACCTAAAAATAGAATACTCCACCTGGGATTCGAACCGGGGACCTTTCGATTACCCACGCCTTACCAATGCGATGGACGTAATCCTCTATTTGGCCTGGGAAATCGTAGTTGATAACGTGACGAAGATCCTTCACATCCAGTCCACGACTGGCGACATCAGTAGCGATCATAATCGGACTCTTGCCCGACTTGAACTCTTGTAAAACCCAATCTCGTTCTTCTTGCTTCTTGTCACCATGGATGGACAATGCTGGCCAACCGTCCATTCTGAAAATACCGTCAATAAAAGATACTCATCTGCGCACAGCGAAGATTTTATCATCCACGCCACCACCTACCTGAGCATCCTCGTAAGATCATCAGCGGCTCGCTTAGTGTCAGTAAAAATGACAATTTTGGATCCGTCCATAATTCGCTCCAAAAGTTGCTTCAACTTGTCCTTCTTTTCATAGTCTTGGACGATGTCAACATACTGGGTCACACTGTTGAGGAAATACAAGATTCACTAAGATTACAAGATTCACCTTCCAACCTACTTATGTGAGGCCCTCAGGGACATCGACCCGACGTTAATATGGACAGGTTCTTCTCGGCACAGGTCCCGAGCGAGACCTTGGATCTCCTTAGGCCAGGTTGCCGACCACAGAAGTGTCTGTCGATCCGGACGCACTTGAGAAGTGATCTTACGAATCTGAAATGAATCCGACCTGATGCTACTGAATTAAGCGCTCGCCCTGACGATCGATTTACCTGCGGTTCGAAACCCATATCGAGCATTCGATCGGCCTCGTCCAGAACCAAGTAAGTCACTCGGCGGAGATTCGTTCGACCGGATTCCAGGAAATCGATCAATCGCCCAGGAGTGGCGATACAAATTTCAACCTGAGAACAACACTCGCGTAAAAGCGCTCGCCCTGATAATCGATAAGGATTACTCCGTTGGCGAGGGCACGAGCCTGAGGACCGCGGGGGGTGCCGCCGTAGACGCAGGTGTTGCGAATTCGGGAGGAGCGACCGAAGCGGTTGCACTCCTCCTGGGTCTGCACGGCGAGTTCTCGAGTGGGGGCGAGGACAAGGACGATGGGACCATCACCTGATAGGGAGCTTAGGTTCAATCATGGATGATATACATGAGCTAACCACAGCAGTTACTGTCATCATACTGGGGAATAGAAATAAAGAGTCGACAGTGAGTTCCCCGAAAAAGACATACGAAAGAAATCAGAGTCTTCCGAGGAGGAGTATGGGGAAAATTATCAAGCACAAGATATGAAAAAATCTTAAAATTGATGGAAAAATTAGAGTTTTACAAACAGAGAGATGGGCACGGTAGATGACGATGAAAAAGAGGATAGAAAAATCCCTGTACGATCAAGAGACATCACGAGATGGTGAGGGAGTTTATAAAAAGATTGAGTACAAGTGTTAAGGAGGTGGTATTAAGACTCACCTCTCTGAAGGTAAGGCTGAGCATTGATATGGACGATTGCTGGTAGGAGGAAAGCTAAGGTCTTGCCCGAACCAGTTTCGGCAATACCAACCATATCACGACCGGACATGGCAACAGGCCAACCTTGAACCTATGATGGTGTGGTATGGAAAGGTGAGATAAATAATAACCAACCTGAATCGGGGAGGGCTTCTCAAACCCTGCTTGTTTAATCTCATGAAGGATGTAGTCAGGGAAACCAGCCTGCTCGAAAGTAACTAATAGGGAGACGATACTCTATATCGCGATGAATATGTTACTCACCAATAGGCTTGGGGACACCCTTGCCGTGAACGACGGTGATCTGACGATCCTTACGGACCTTGTCGACCTCATCTTGAGACATTGATGCAACATCAGGATGCTCAACATAGAAGTTCTTCTCGAATTTAGATAAGGTAACTTGGGACCAGTCCTACTTGAATGATGAGATGTAACTACTTCCCAACTTAGGACACTACCTGTTCACGTAGTCCCCCTCCTAATCCTGTATTGTTATACGACCCACCATTCCCTCCATAGCTACCCCCATAGTAGCCGCCTCCTTTTCCACCACCACCATACCCTCCATAGTATCCACCAGAGCCAGTCTGCCAAAAATATATAATCGATTACATTCACTCAGTTTATTAACATTCCCACACACGAAAGATTCCATTCGAGGGGAACTATAACTTTAATGTCGACCCATGGTTATTACTCCTCGACTATCATAACGATCTCGAGAGCGAGAACGGGAACGACGAGAGGTTCCGTAGCCGTAGGCCATCTAGGTAGGAAATAAAGAGGTAAAAGAGTAACTGATATTAACACAATAAAATCAATAAAAGAAGCCTCAAAAGTTGCATAAAATCCCCCCTAAGCATATCCAGCTCGCTTGCACCTCGGATATTCGAGTATCTGCTCCACAACTACCACTCCTTCCCCAACATGACTCCAATTCCATCAAGAGGGTGTCGCCAAATATCGCCAGTCAAACTAAAGCTCAAGGGGTTCCCCGTGACGCCTGCGTGCAAACCTTTTGCAGCGGTGAAGAGCGCGCGCCATCGTGATCGATCTTAGACATTTTTCCCAGTCGTGATTACTATACGAATCTGCCATGACGGAGTTGTCAAAGAGAGGGGCATGGTCGATTAGGAGGTCCTTGACGGTTATGTTATTGAGGCAAATGAGGAGGAGTAAGTGGGTGAAGATACTAGGTCGATAGGATACTCACACGCTCACATCTAGACCTATTTTATATCATACTAGGTCGATAGGATACTCACACGCTCACATCTAGACCTATTTTATATCATACTAGGTCGATAGGATACTCACACGCTCACATCTAGACCTATTTTATATCATACTAGGTCGATAGGATACTCACACGCTCACATCTAGACCTATTTTATATCATACTAGGTCGATAGGATACTCACACGCTCACATCTAGACCTATTTTATATCATACTAGGTCGATAGGATACCTTCAGGTGGGAAGATCGTTAATCTCACGGATGGTCGACAGCTGCTGGAGACAAACTATCCTTGCCAAATCGATTTCTGGGGACGAGGTCCGTCAACTGACCTGTTTCGTATCTTACAAATTCAACCTGAAGATATTTCTTTAGGATACTCCATGGCGACCAATGTTGTTCGTGTATCCGAATTGGCGTACACAGCGGAGAAGGCCCTCAAATTTCACGTAGTGTCCCCCACCCCCACGACGGGTACCTGCTCAGATTCCCTTCCAGGTCGTGTCGAAGTCATTCCCCGACGGCTGCAATCCCGACAGTCTTCCCGCTAGAGTCTCGGGGCTTTCAATCGCCCGGCTAAAGAATCGGTTATTACGGTAGGTCGGTTGCGGGGATCGAACCAGGGACCTTTTGGTTACTGATTGTCAGACCGCTGCTTTGCGAGAATGATAATAAAGTAGTTGTTGCCCCGCGTGAGGAGGAAGATTCCCTTTTCGAAACGGTCAAGTACGATACGCGAGATGGCACGCACGCACATCATCTCGCTGCTGTAGATACGTCTCGGAACAGTCGGTTTTGAATGCTAGTAATTTCCAGCGTGTCGATCCCCAAGCGGGAATAATGATACGGGTCGTATCGATCACTTGATCGATTTAGCGTATTCTATCAGCAATAGGTCGCAACCGGCTATTGTCAAGACGCTGCTCAACCTGCCGATCCCTCTCAGCGGTCATACGTGAGGCCCAGGTTCGATCCCCGGCACCGGCATTTCTCCCGCAGGTATACACTTATCGGATTACAGTCCATAATCTTCATCAGAATAAGTCTTATCGTATCCTCGCTCGAAACTACACCTTTCGAGATGCTGATGGACACGTAAGTTCACTGCATGAGGATGCTCCATCTCTTACCCCCTTTCAGGTCTTCGCCAATATCAATCCAGGCAGTGAGGAGTCCATGGGAGTGGTGGGGCTAACGGTAGGAAGACAATTTCATGGCGCGTGACGCTTTTGTGGCCCGTCGGAGCTGACGGAAGAACGCGACAGTTTCGGAATTCATTATTCGGAAATATTTGAGTAACTTCATGTTCGCTTAATTTCTCCGTTTACACTGTGATGATTTGTACCCATACTTTCTTTATTTTCTACAGCCTCTTTTAAGTCCTGGAGAGTCCTTTACTTTCCATAGTGGAGTCAGGATACCGACCACAGAGGTGAGTGATGGATGCGGGGATCGAACCGGGGTCTCTCGATTGGAAGCCATTGCCTCTCTCAGACGGGCACATTCACGGGTTCGCTCGAAATTGGTACCGAGAAGAAGAAAGTAGAAAGCACCGTCGAAGTAAAAGCATCGAGGGGGAGATTCGAACCTGGGAATTTCGGATGTTCTCAGACTGAAAGCGACTCCAACCATTCGAGCACGATGGACGTCAAACGAGAACGTTTGGATGTGCGGTACCGAAAGTAGGCGGAGCGGAGCACATCGATACGCGTAGTTGTCTTACATATTAGGTACAAGGATGAGGCCGAGGATACGTTTTTCGTCGCTCTACCTGATGTGGCCTTTCGGCCTGCCGCGGTCGCTGTAAAATTACAGGATAATTTTGATAGGTGACCAAATGGGGCTACCAGAAAGTTTGGATGAACCTCGAAAAACGGACAACAGAATAAATAAGTTAGAAATGGCTTGAGCAGGAATCGATCCGGGGATGTCCGCCTATATTCCACGGAATTCCGCTATCGCGAGTTTCATCCACAATTCGCGACATCTTGCCAGTAGGTGGGCACCAATTGATCAAATCGATGTACATACATCGGCTGAGTCTGGGAAGTATCACAGAACTTGTTTTTATGATGAAGTAGCGAGGCATGCTGTCAATTCGCGCATTTACTGTTGTTCTTCCATCTAAATTATTCCACTACGACTACATCGGTCAAGCTCGTATCATTCGGAAGATCATAGTTCGTCTATCCTGCAAAGCATATGAGAATACAACCATCCCCATCCTTTGGCCGAAAAATGTCGTGCGGCACAACTGGTACCAAGCGGGAAATGCTCGATAGATGCCCGTGCCGAATCCCCAGCGAAGAATGGAAGCTTAGTTTTCGGTCCTCATCCGCTGAGGAGTACTACGGTCGTTATATATACATGAACCCCAAGAAACGGGCGGTACTGTAGCAACCATTAAGCGACTCCGACGAGAGCATGCCTCCCAGTCTGGTCCTTAACAATGAGGATCTGCTGAGATACTCCAAGAGGTTCGGATGATCGTGCGAGATCATATCACTCAGTGCGCACCGGAAGTCTATTATGTCTCGAAAAAAAAGCGGTAAAGATTTAATTGTTTCTTGGAGAACTCGAGAACACCACTACAGTGTGAAGACGCATCATAACTATGGCAAAGACGTATTGATACAAATTGTGTGATTGAGTAGGAAGGAGACAACAATTGTGTAGATATGTCACAGATTCTCTCCAATCTTCTATGAGGAGTTCCACGAATTGAAAAGTATAGAGGATCAGCTCAGTGGCCTCCACTGAGTATAGAATTCCAGAATATATTTTTAACAGTTCACGTATCGTAGAACTATTTCAGCGAACACCTTGTTAAAAGATTCTCTCGGGATCGCTACGCATTCTGAGTTGGTGTTCATTTGATTGACCGTGTACAGATTTCGATATTTTGCGGAGCGCGCCGAGCACCTGTCCGCTTTGGGTCACACTGACGAGACAGCTGATGACGACTATCCCGAAACGACTCGGCGTAGACCTCACAAACGGGGAGATGCAGGTACGATCGATGTTTGGGGATTCGTGGTGCAGTGATGATTCCGTAGGTGATTCTAAAGAAGGAGGACCGACAGGTTGATATTTCTTCGGGACTTGTGTCATTTTTGGTTTCAAGTTCATTTGTTATTTTGTTCCTCGAGAAAGGTCGGGAAATCATGGCAGATTGAATGGCGAAGTCCTGCTATATATTCGAGAGCAACGAATCGATAACCCCAATACCCATGATTGCCAATTGTGTCAATACTTATTCCAAATGGAGTGTTACTGCGTACGGAGTCGAACATAAGAATCTCTGAAATTCATCAACCTTCCCGTGACTGCAAGTGCTTTGATGCCTCGTAAGTGCAATAATCTGTATGATACAGACTGTGTCATCGTCCATAATAGCGCATCAGTCTTTCTCGGCGAAAACACGTCCACGATCACCCCAGGAAGATATCAGATATATGATATATCAATAGGTCACTGACAACGGTCCCAATTTGGGACTCCCAAACCAAACACAGAAAGCATTCAGAGGCTTGTCTGAGAGGCAACATGGATGAAAATGAATAGAAAATTCAGCTCGCGCATCTCCGCTTTATTCGGTCAACACTCCATCCACGGTTGCTCGAATGCTGCGAATTGCATGATATGAGTTGCATGACGAGGACTAATCAGATGAAGTTATTATGTCGGCAGTTGGTTTATGAGGTACACAGATTCACAAGGAAGGGAAGGAATCAGATGTTGTGTTTCATGGAGAAGATGTGACTTTGAACTCGACAGAGTGTAGACAAGAGACGGAGATCGTATCATACCTTTCGTTCTTCGGAAGTCCCAAGGAGACGTATCGGATTAGGAATCGATGGCTGACCTTGGACGCTATCAATACTCGACTGGGCCACGAGATTGATAGTAGCAATACATCAGACTGTATCATGAATACGAAGAGGCATCACAACTGACTGATGATGCGGCAAAGGGTGAATCGATTACATCAGAGACTTTTGTGATTCGGCAAGTGTCCTCCTCATTCCCTTCTCGGAAGAGTCACTCCTACGATCCTCTGAATGAAAATGTGCCAAGTGTATTGCACTTTATGGGGGTACTGCATGATAGTAGGTAAACTGTTCGGAGTCGTAGATTCCGCAGATACCCGTAAGACGGTGCCTAACGCAACAGATAAGGCCGAAGGGCATAATTGTACTTGGCGTACACCACAACACGGTAGCTATGGTGAACGGATCATGTACACAACCCATTTAGACATAGCAACACGGAGGTACACAGATTCATTGGTTTCATGCTGCGTAGTTATGAATGATGTCTTGCCAGTTCTAATCTAACGACCACATGCAAGTGTAGTATATTTCCAACTAGCCGACATTTTCCATTAGTCATAGTGTCACGATTTCCAACCCTCTCGATAGACGAGCTGTATCCCACTGACTCATGTTCAACACAAAACTTGGACAAGGAGAAAGTTGTTGCTGCAATATCATCATGAGCTGGATAACCGACATGGACGCTTGAGCTGCTGACATGGATTATACAATGAAGTTGATGAAGAAAGGTCGTCAACCCCTGCCGTCACATCGACAGTATAGAGCCCTGCCATTCACGGGCCGCGAACAGAATGTGTGACACACTCCTTGCAGGCGACAGTACAGCTGATAATCATTCAACATTTCGCAGTTTTTCAAGCAAAGATGGTGCTCCACTGACACGAGGATGGATGCCTATCTAATACGTCGTCCTGGTCCACCATAATAACACTGCTACAACCATGGATCACATTAGTGAACATATGCTCACTGCTCTATGCCATTCAGAGAAATCAGTAATGCAAGCATCTACTAAGCGTGCTGTTTCTCTCCAAGCCGATACGAACAGTCATCGTTTTAGCTGAGTCTGAAGTACTTTGTCGAGTTGAGACCCCATCAGAGAACATGCTCGTGTTTATCATCTACTAGGTTAGCATGAGCATGCCTACCATCATGATGCATGTTGCCGACTGGACATGACTGGACTTGTGAGGCCTGAGAGCTCTTCAAAGTCCCCTGATCTCGCCAACCGTTCCTCCCGCACCTCCTTGGCCACTGACCATGACAACTACCAACAAGCCCCTCAAGACCATTGACAAGTGATAGTATGTACCCGATTGATGAAATGCTCAGCTTGCTCCTTAGTAAGGTCCTGCATGGCATCAGCAATACGGCCCTCCACCAGGGTTAGACGATCTGAATGTAAATGATGCCATTACTAAACTATAATGCTCACCTTCATGAACCTTCAACGTATGGCGTATATCCTCAGCTGTACCTGAACCCACATCGCATGAGTGTACGTCGTAACCTCAGATAATGTGCTTCACACGTACAGTATTGATTAAACTCCCCGACTCCGACGAAATCCATACACACATACATTTACTAAGTAGCGTTCATCTATGCATGATGAACGATATGGTGCTCATCTCCAAGGTCACACCGATAAACATGAAAACTATTCCCGCCACCCACTACTGGTCCAATAACTAGAGAAAGCGATACAGCAGTGCTACGATGCTATGCAAAGATCTTCAACATTATGCTAGTGTGAGTACATGGTACGACGCATTGAGCTCACTTGCCAAAAGGTTGTCGTCCCAACTCCTGGACTCCCTCAAGAGAATTCTAATTCCGATTTTCTCCTCCTCCTCCTCCTCGTCTACCATAACCTCCTCATCATCTCCCATCTTATATGAACCCTGTGATGCATCCCTCGATCCTGCTATCTAGATACCTACCTGTGTACACCACATGTGCTGCTGCTGCCTACTACTGGCTTCTACAACGTCAACACAGTCCTCTCTTATGCTCGAACCTGGACGAGTGATGCTCCGTTAAAGGTTACCAACATCGATGATGGTCTTTCATGGCAAAATATGCACATAGTCAACTACTTGTGTTGGTGGTAATATGAAAAAACTGAGGAAATTTCAGGGAATTTCCTGTACACTCCTACCCAAATTGGAATGAGAACTTGTATAAATAGTGAGTGAGGAAAGAGAGCATGCATCTCAATGAGCGAGCCCAGGTACTCCTATGAACTCACCCTCCAACTTTTCCACTCTTTTAAAAAGACCTTCCAAGCCTGATGGAGCCACCAGTACCCCCGAATGAGCTAATGCATTACGATTGATCAAGTCAGACTGAGATAGAGCTAGTAGCCCAGATGTGTCACCAAATCTTTGTATCTGGAAAAGTGAACTCATCTATGTAGTCTTCTTGAGAAAACACTCGGAATAACAAAGCCATTTAATTCTGGCGCCACGCCAAAGGGCCGTTTTATATATCACTCATCACTAGGGAGGTATCTTCACGTCTCTGCGTACGCACATACGTTGACAGGAGAAACAGGAGCATCGTCACGCTCATGAATTCCTGAGGTAATTTCCGCACGCACGCACATAAGATTCTTGCTACAAATTGAGGTCCCGCAATCTAGCCTTACTTTATTCCCAACCATATGTTTCTTATCATCATAATCCGGATTCGAATGGGCCTTTTCTGAATCTTTCAAGAACGAACCTCGGATACCACCAAACTCATAACTACCTTCAACCACCGGTATACCACTTTCGACGAACTCGCGAAGCATAGCATAAATCTAAAAGGGCCTCAAGTCACTACTGAACCGGAACATGTTGAATATATTGAAATCGGCAGCACTTGGAACCCTCTAAAATTAGGTGAGAGTATTTACACTGCATCACCTGGTAGCCTCATAGTATCGCTAACAACTCCATCCCAATCAGAATAATAACAACATATACAACAACAACATATACAACAACAACAACAACATATACAACAACAACATATACAACAACAACATATACAACAACAACATATACAACAACAACATATACAACAACAACATATACAACAACAACATATACAACAACAACAACAACATATACAGCAACATATACAACAACAACATATACAACAACATATACAACAACATATACAACAACATATACAACAACAACATATATAACAACAACAATAACAACAACAACAACATATACAACATATACGACAACAACATATACAACAAGTTAGTCTCTTGTTGTTATTGTTGTTGTTGTTGTTGTCGTTGATGTGATTGACGTAATCGTATTGGTGGTAGTGGGCAGCATGCACGAGAATGCTTACCTCCTGAATGGTAGCAGATAGTGTGCTTATTCGAGAATCGTGTTCTTCTACATAAACCTCATCCTTGTAAGTGGCCAACATCTATATCTCATAACCAACACCTCACAACAGTCCATCATCCTTACCTCCTCCACTCTACTACCAATCGAGTCCTTCCTAAGTGGTCTATCATTCTCAGCCTCTCTATACGCTCTATGCC